CCAGCCTGTAAGACCCTGCCCTGTCGAGGCCCTGGGCTCAGGCAGAGACATTCTGGGGCTGGAATGTGACCAAAATGACCCTCCGGGGAGGGCAGCTGGCCACAGGGGCAAGGGGCCTGCCAGCTTCTACCAATGAACCATTACCTTCCATGAGTGCCCACCAGGCACGTGGACCCTCTGCGCTGACAAGACAGCTGTAGCTGGCAGACCACGGGCAAAGCAATGACACCTCCCTTCCAGGCCAGCTAGAAAAGGCTCCAGGTGAGGCTGAAACAGCGCCTCTGTGCCGGGCTGGCAGGCTCCCCCAAGCTCCCACCTGGACATCCCTCCACACCAATCCAGGGGACCATGGGGTCTTCTGGGGGTGTGGCAGGGCGCTGCACGCCCACTAAGCTTGGGTTTCACAGTCCTGTGTGGTGCTCCCTGGCAGGTGCCATCGTTGGCCTTGGTGCCTTGGCACCTGGCCAGGTGGCCCTGAGCTCCGGGATGGACACGGAGCTGGGCAGCTACAGGCTCTCTGCTGGCATCAACCTCTGCGTGCTCCCAATGGGTTCCTGGGCCAGGGAGCTGCCCTCAGTTGCAACAGCTCCCTCCAGGTCAGCACTGCTCAGTACACGCACACACGCCCACCGCCCACCAGGCCCCTCGGCCTCCCGGAAGCTGATGCTGGCACTCTGTGCTGCACGAAGTGGGGTGCTGCGAGGAGGGCAAGCACGTGGGTGCGCTGGAGCACGTCCGCCAGCAGAGATCATGCGCTGTCCCTGAAGGAGGCGTGGCCAGAGCCGGGCAGCCCAGCCAGAGGGGGCAGAGCCAAGCTGGAGGGGGCAGAGCTGAGTTGGAGGGGGCGGAGCTGAGCCAGAGGAGGAGTAGCCAAGCTGGAGGGGGTGGAGCAGAGCCAGAAGGGGCAGACCCCAGCCAGAGGGGGTGAAGCCCAGCCGGAGAGGCAGAGCTGAGCTGGAGGGGGCGGGGCCCAGCCAGAGGAGGTGGAGCAGAGCCAGAGGGGGCGGAGCTGAATCAGAAGAGAAGGAGCCAAGCTGGAGGGAGTGGAGCGAACCTGGAGGGTAGGAGCTGAACAGGGGGGACAGAGCCGGGGCCAGAGGGGGTGGAGCCCAGCCAGAGGGGTGGAGCTGAGCCAGAGGAGGTGGAGCTGAGCCAGAGGAGGAGGAGCCGAGCTGGAGGGGGCGGGGCCTACCCGGAGTGGGTGGAGCAGAGCGGGGAAAGCTGCAGGCAGAGGCTTGTGATGGACCCAGGGGAGAGCATGGTGGGGCCTGGGGATGGAAGAACAGCAGTAGGTGGCAGGGCTGGGGGTGAGGAGGCCTTGACAGGAGTTGAGGGAGTCTGGGCTAGCTCTGTGCTCTCCATACTCAGGAGGGCTCCCAGGGTAGGTCAACCCAACAGGTCCTGTCAAGGCACCAGGACTCCAGAGGCCTGCTGGGGCAGGGCAGCAGCCTCCAGACCCCACGACAGGGCGGGCCCTGTGGGCACAGCTCCTCTGGTCTGCGCCTGTCCTCCTCTAGTCTCACGCAGTTCCCTGCCACTCCTCCCACCCCCGCATTGGGGGTGTCCTCTCAGCCCTTAGCCTCACCCCTGCCTGCTTCCCCAAAGCCCGGCTGTAGGCCCCCACTCTCCCCATGCCTTTTCCTGGCAGTCCCAGCCTCTCCCGCGCTCTCTCACAGTGCCAGGGGGCTCTTACAGACCCACACGTTGTCTGCTGCCTCCTGCCTCAGCTTGAAAGGCCACCACCAGGGGCTCTCCTGGGCAGCCCTCCCTTCACTGAGTTCTGGCCCCTTTTCTGCAGAGAGCCTTGTATTGCTCTCATCTGCCCACCTGTCCAGGGTGCCAAGGAGACCCCCTAGGGCAAGTGCACCCCAAACCTCAGGGCACCTGGGCACGGAACCAGAGGAAACACATCTGCCATGAAGATCTGGAGTGGATGTGTCCTCAGCGTGTGTGGGAGAGAATGTACGATTGTATGAGTGTGATATTGTGTGTGTGTGAGAGAGAGAGAGAGACAGTGTACAAGTGTGTGATTGTGTGGGTGGGTGTGATTGTGTGTGCATGTGAGATTGTGAGTGTGAGTGTGCAAGTGTGTGAGATAGTGTGCGAGAGTGTATGAACGTGTGCTTGTGAGATTGTGAGCGTCTACAAGTGTGTGCATGTGATTGTGAGCATTGTGAGTGTGTGTGAGTGTACAAGTGAGTGTGAGATTATATGAATGTGTGAGTGTACAAGTGTGTGCATGTGAGTGTGTGTGAGAGAATTGTGAGTATGTGAGATTGTGGGTGTGTGAATGTACAAGTGTGTGTCAGATAGTGTGTGATTGTATATGAGTGTGAGTGTGTGGATGTGAGTCCATGAGATTATAAGTGTACAAATGTATGCATGTGAGATTGTGAGTGTGTGTGAGTGTATGAGTATATGTGTGAGTGTATGACTGTGAGATTGTGTGTGTGAATGTACAAGTGAGTGTGTGAAAGTGTGTGCACTAGTATGTGAGCATGAGATTGTGTGTGACTTATGAGTGTGTAAGAGGGATTGTGAGTGTGAGTGTACAAGTGTGTGAGTGTCATATAATGTGTGTGAATGTAAAAGTGTGTGCATCTGAGTATGGGATTGTGCATGGGCAAGAGTGTATGAGTGTGTGAGTATGAGATTTCTGTGAGTGTGTGAGAGAATATGAGTGCTTGAGGTTGTGAGTGTATGAGAGTGTGAATGTACAAGTGTGTGTGAGATTGTGAGTGTGTGAGAGATTATAAATGTGTGCATGTGGGATTGTGTGAATGTGACAGTGTATCAGTGTGTGAGTGTGAGATTATATGAGTGTGTGAGTGTACAAGTGTGGGCACGTGAGTGTGTGAGCTTGTGGGGATGTATGAATGTGTGCATGTGAGATGGTGAGCATGTGTGAGAGTGTACAAGTGTGTGTGAGTGTACAAGGATGTGTGAGTGTACAAGGTTGTGTATGTGAGTATGTGGGAGAGAATGTATGAATGTTGAGAATATGAGTGTGTGTGAGTGTACAAGTCAGTGAGTGTCAGTTGTGTGAGTGTGTATGAGTGTAGAAGTATGTGTGTGTGAGTCCATGATATTGACTGTACAACTGTGTGCATGTGAGATTGTGAGTGTGTGAGTGGATGAGTGTGTGCATGAGTATGTGAGAGAACAAGTGTGTGAGGTTGTGAGAGTGTGAGTGTGAGAGTGTGTGTATGTATATTTGTGTGTGTGTATGAGAGTATGAGTGTGAGTGTGAGAGTGTGTCTGTGAGTGTATGAGTGTGTTTGAAATTGTATGTGAGTGTATGAGTGTGAAATTGTGTGTGAGTGTGTGTGTCTGTCAGATTGTGAGTATAAGTGTGCAAGTGTGTGCATGAGAGTGTCTGTATGAGTGCATGACTATAATATTGTAGGTGAGCATGAGTGAGTGTGTATGTGAGTGTATGAGTGTGTGCATGTGAGTGTGTGTTATGTGTGTGAGTGTACAAGTGCATAAGTGTGATATTGTGTTTGAATGTATGTGAGTATATGAGTACATGAGTGAGATTGTATGTGTGTGAGAAAGTGTATGAGTATGTGCATGTGAGAATGTGTGAGACTGTGAGTGTATGAGTGTGTGCTTGTGAGAGTGTGTGTGTGAGTTGAGTGTGTGCTGTGAGAGTTACAAGTGTGTGAGGGAAGTTGTGTGAGTGTGTGAGAGTGTATAAGTGTGTGCATGTGAGAATGTTTTACTCTGATTGTGTAAGTGTGTGCATGTGCGAGTATGAGTTGAGTGTACATGTGAGTGTTTTGAGGGTGTGAGAGTGTGTGACTTTGTGTGTATGAGTGTGTGTGAGGGTTGTGAGACTGAGAGTGTATGAGTGTGTGCATGTGAGTGTGTTTGAGTGTGCAAGTGTGTGAGATTGTGAGTGAGGGTTCATGTGAGTATGTGTATGTGGGGGGGTGTGAGTTCATGTATATAAGTTGTGTGTGTGAGTGTGTGTGTGAGTTCCTGTATGTGAGTGTGTGAGTGTGTGTGTGAGTTCCTGTATGTGAGTGTGTGAGAGAGAATGTGAGTTCATGTATGTGAGTGTATGTGAGTGTGAGGATGTGTGATTTTGTGTGTGTGCATATGTGAGCTCATGTATGTGTGTGTGGTTTCATGCATGTAAGTGGTGTGTGTAAAGGTGTGTGGGCTCGTGTGTGTGTGAGTTCCTGTGTATGAGTTCATGTGTGTGTGTGTGTGTGTGTGAAGGTGTGTGGTTTTTTTTGTGTGATTTCATGTGTAAAGGTGCATGAGTTTGTGTGTGTGTGAATATGAGATCGTGTGTTTTGAGTGTGTGGTATGTGTGCACAAGTGTGTGTGTTTGTGTGAATCCATGAGTGTGCATGTTGGCATGTGTGTTATGTGAGTATGTATGTGAATGAGTGTACATTCGTGGGTAGATGTGTGCATGTGTGTGGCAGTGTGTATGTACATGTGAGGGTGCATGTATGTGTAGGTGTATGTGTGAGAATGTGTGTGTATACCCACAGTCCACATATGTTTTACTTGGGCCTTTCCATCAACCAAACCAAGGTCAGCAAACATCTGGCCCCCTGCCTGATTTTGTAAATAAAGTTTTATTGGCACAAAGCCAAACCTAGTGTAGCTGCTTTGCCACTACAACTGCAGAGTTTAATCATTGCAACACAGATGGTGTGACCTGCCAAACTTAAAATGTTTGCTCTCTGGCCCCTTAAGGAAGACTTTGCACACCCCTGAGCTCAGCAGGATAAAGATGGACAAACAGAGCTGGCCAGCCCTGTCCGGGAGTAAGTGGCTGGAGGGCACGCATAGGGCTAGCTGTCTGTCTGTCATTGACAAAGCCTGGGGCTGCTGCCTCCCCCAGCTTTCAGGCCCTGCAGGCAAGATCCCATCTCCCCATTGATAAGGAGTCAGGTAACAGCAAACAACGAGAGGGACAGTGGGGGCAGTGGTGGATCGTGGTGCCTCTGACAGACACGTGGTGCGTGGCTGGCTGGGTAATGTTCCGGGCACTGGTCACAGCCGGCGCAGCCCTGAAGCCCCGCACAACAGGCTGGGTGCGGGCCATGGCCTCCTACCAGCTGCTGGTGCCGCCCCCAGAGGCCCTTCAGAAGCCCCTCTCTGTCCCCAACCGGCTCTTGTTGGGGCCTGGCCCCTCTAATCTGCCTCCGCGGGTCCTGGCTGCCGGGGGCCTGCAAATGATCGGCCACATGCACAAGGAGATGTACCAGGTAGGCCCACGGTCGGGAGTGCAGGCACCGTCAGCACGCTCTTCCCCGGGAGCTGACTGCATGCCTTCCCCCCAGATCATGGACGAGATCAAGCAGGGCATTCAGTACTTGTTCCAGACCAAGAATCGGCTCACATTGGCCATTAGTGGCTCAGGACACTGCGCCCTGGAGGCAGCCTTGTTCAACGTGCTGGAACCGGGGGACTCCTTCCTGGTAGGGGCCAATGGTATCTGGGGGCTCCGGGCTGCAGACATTGGAGAACGCATCGGTAAGGACGAAGGCTCCCTGTGCCATTTCCCAGGCAGGCACTTGCTCCATCTTGGCCCTTGGAGCCTGGGCTTCCCAAGCAGAAGGCCAGCTGCCCCCCAGCCCCACGGCCAGCCAGTGTTCATGTGCCCTGGTCTCCCAGGGTGCAGGGGGACTCACTGAAGGGAAGCCTCTGGTCTCGGCTCCAGGAGCCCCAGCAACTCTCCAGGGTGCTTCGCCCTAAAATCCCACAAGCATGGGGACATGGTAGGGAGTAAAGTCTCTCTGAGAGAGGCAGGCACTGCCCTGGGCTTAATGATTGATGATGGGTCTGCCACTCTCCGCCTCATTAATGGACAACCCCAGATGGCCTCCAGGTGGCCCAGACCCCTCACTTGGGCCAACCAGCCCCAACCACTCTGGCCCTGTAGGCAGTGTGGCCTCAGCCAGCCTCCCACCCAGCCCAACCTCTATCCTGGGTGGTCTGAGGCTGCCTGTCCTCCTGCAACTCCAGAGGTGGGCTCTGCACAGGGGATTCTGACTCACAGCACCCCTAGAGGACAGGGCGGAATTGCACCACAGGGTTTCCAAGGCCTGCGGAAGCAGACCGCCTCATCTTTCCCCCACACAGAGGCTGGTGTCAGTGAATTGCTGGCCTTTTAGTTGGCAGCCAAGTGCTTTATCCGCCATGCAACTGGAGCTCCTTGAAGTACCCTGTGAAGGGCTCCTTAGACCTGAGAGGCCTCATTGCCAGTACCACTGGAGGCTGGAACAGGGCTTGTGCCTCAGGGCTGGGTCCTCTCATGGGACACACTCCCTGTCCTTGTTCTTCCCCTCCTTGGTTCTGGGGATGTCCCTGCCCCTTCCTTCCAGCTGTCCTGGTTGGGGGGGCAGAGTCCCTTCCCTCCTGGGCACCTGGGCTCATTGGCCCAGCATGGCCACTTCATGGGTGATGGTGGCTGCTGACCAACTCCTCTGCCCATGGCCCCAGGAGCCCGTGTGCACCCCATGGTCAAGGAACCCGGAGGCCACTACACACTGCAGGAGGTGGAGGAGGTATGGAGGTGTGGGATATGCTGGCCTGGGGGCTCTGGTGAGCTGGGAAACCCACCCTGCACCATCCTCTGACTGGAGCCCCAGGAGGGATCCCCATGCCTGGGAGCAGGGGACATGCTGGGTAGTGTGGGCTCTGTCTGACAGGAAAGCCAGTCAGAGGAGGCCATAACCCAATCCAGATGGCACTTACCTTGCAATGGCCAGAGTCCCCACAGGGCGGCAGGAGGTTGGGGTCTCTGGACAAAAGTCCTCTTGGGCAAAGCCCCCTTCCCCAAGCTGACATATACAGGTGAGATGTTGAGGCATGCCAGGCTACTATGGCCTAGACCCTCATTGTCCTTGGTGAGTGTGGCCCTGGCCCTGCCCCCCTGAGAAAAGGCCCTTGGGGGAGGCCAGCCAGCCCCCAGTAGCCCCCAACAGGCTCAGCTGCGGCTCACCCCTGCTCCCCAGGGCCTGGCCCAGCACAAGCCGGTGCTGCTGTTCCTGACCCAGGGAGAGTCATCCACTGGTGTGCTACAGCCCCTCGATGGCTACGGGGAGCTCTGCCACCGGTGAGTGGTCACGGTGACCCATGTGGGACCAGGGAGGGTGCCACCCAGACCTGGCCCAGCCTCTGTCCTCCCATTCCTGGCCGAATCTGGGAGAAGACTGGGGCTGAGGGCACATCCATGACCAGGTGCTTGGGGCCCAAGCGCCCACAGCCCTGCTGCCCTCCACTGTCCACAGCTTGGAGGGTTTGCTGCTGGCTGCTGTCCGGGTGCCTGGGCCTGCAAGTCCTGCCCTACCTCACCCTGAGACCCTCAAAGGGGCCTCAGATCCCACTACCCTCCTGCAGGCCCCTCCGTGGACAGGGGCCCAGGGCCAGGACTTGAATGGAATGGAGAGGTCTTGCCCAGAGAAGATGTTACAGCAGGGGGTGGTCCCAGGCACCATGGGGGTTCAGCACGGTTTCCCATGGATCCCTGCTCCTGGAGGCCATACTGGGGGCTGCTTGGTGTGTCGGCCTCACAAAGGCAGCCCAGGCCATGGCTGCAACAGGACCCGAATGGCACAGCGCTCAGCGTTGGGCACTCTTAAGGCCTTTTTTTTTTTTTTTTTTACTAAAAGCACACGGAGCAGGAGGGGGTGGTGAGAGTTCAGCTGGGTTGTCTTTGGACTCTGCCCCCTGCAGACCTGGACTTCCAGCTGGGGGCCGGGCTTAGCTAAGCCTGTGCAGGGAGACACAGTCTCCCACATCTGCCCCTCACAGCCCTGGGGCCTGAACTCCCAGAACCCCACACCCCACCAGCCCGAGGACCACACAGCCACTCAGGCTGCTGCACCATCTGTGTGCGAGTCCCTGAGGGTGGGGCCATCAGAGTCTGAATGCTGCCCTGGCCCTGCTAGGTTTCCATCTGGTGCTGATCTTCAGGCCCAAGAGACCCCAGGGGAACCCCAGGGAAGAGAGGGCCATGTGTGGGAGGCAGAAGCTTCTACCTGCTTCCTTTCTGGCCTCCAAGGGCACTGGAGACCCCTCCATACACAGTTAGCTGAGGTCTGACCCAAGGTCCTGTCCCACACTACTCCTTCCTTTCAGGTACAAGTGCCTGCTTCTAGTGGACTCTGTGGCCTCCCTGGGTGGGACCCCCATCTACATGGACCAGCAAGGTAGGGGTCCCATCAGTCACTCACCTATTGGGCTCTGCGGGCAGACAGGCCCTGGCCAGACCACTGCTATGGCACTGCCTGGGAGCCCGACTTGAGTCCACCCTTCTGTTGCCCGAGGGCCCAGGCAAAGGGCTCCTCCTTGGCAGCTGGGCAGTCTGCACCCACTGCTTGTGCTGGGCGGTCAGAGCCGGGCTGGGGCTGGGGCCTGAGAGGTGTCTGGGGCAAGAAGAAGGCACCTCTCCTCGGGCAGCCCCTGTAGGAACAGTGTGTCAGGCCTTCTCAATAGGGGACAGGGGCAGGGCCACCAACCAGAGTGCCTCCGTTTCCCCCTGACTGGGGTCCAGTAGTGACTGCCGTGTGTTGTTAAGGTCCTCTTGCTCCTCCGCCCCAAGGAGCCTCCATTCCCAGCCTGGTGCACCCACGACAGTGCTGGCCAACAGCCATCTCCCCACTCAGCCGGGCTAGCTGCTACCTCCTGCAGGGCCTGTCCTAATGGGGGCAGTGAGGGGCCCCTGGGCTGGCCCTCCAATTCCTGCCCCCAAAGGACAGGAATGGTACCGGGGGCACAGGACAGTCCTGGAGTACCCACACTGCACCCCAGGCCAGGCTGGGCCTCTGTGATGGAGGGAGAAGTTGGGTGGGGCCTTGGGCTCGGGTGGTCCCAGCAGGATGGGGATTCGAACTTGAGACACTACTGGGCCCCAGTCCCCGGGCCCCGCAGCACAACACCCCCTGTCCACAGGGATCGACATCCTGTACTCAGGCTCCCAGAAGGTTCTGAATGCACCCCCAGGGACCTCACTCATCTCCTTCAGCGACCAGGCCCGGTGAGTGACCATCCACTCAGGCCTGGCTGTCAGGAAACCCAGGCAGCCCTGAGGAGGGGGGCCCTGGGCCAGTGTTCCCACGGCCACGTCCGTCCGTCCACCAGGAATCCTCACCCTGCCCTGAGCAAGGTGTGCTGAGGCTGCTTCACAGGGACTGTGGCCAGGGCTCAGGGAGACCAGGGAGTGTGGAGCTAGGGGAGGCTGTACAGGGGGCCTGTGGCCACGTGGGGAAAAAGGCCCAGGGTCACCAGCAGGATGAGGGAGCTGAGCTCAGGCCCCACTGCCTCTGGACAATGTCACCTCCCTGTCCCTGTGTCCAGACCCTGAGTCCAGCCAGTCAAGGAGAGAGTTCAGCAGGCAGTTAGCACCCAGCTGCCTTGATCCTTGTCACCCACCAGCTGCTGGGCCAGTGGTTGTACCCTTGACCAGACAGGGTTCTGGGTGAATCCAGGGTCCGTGCTAGATGTAGGGGATTTGACTGTAGCCGGACCGAGGTAGTCAGGGAGGTGCTACTGAGTGAGTGGGCATTGCCTGGCATGGGAGCAGAGGGCAGAGGTCCTGCCTGGGCCTGGGCTCCCAGGGGGCAGTGTCAGCAGACAGCAGGAGAGGCTGGGGACAGATGGCCTGGATAGTGTGTGGTTGCCAAGCTTGCAAAGGGGTGCAGTCACCCCTCAGCCTCCAAGCTTACACCCCAAGGGTATGGCAGCCTCCAGGAGAGAGGACCCCAAGCCCAGATCCTGAGCCCTGGTTTCACTGGCGTTTGAACAGGTTGGCCCCGTTAACACAGAATGCCTTCCTGTCTTCCAGTTATCGCTCTGAGGGGTGGTGATCAGAGGAATGAGGCAGGGTCCCCTGGGGCAGGAGAGACCCACAGAGAGGGCTGGGGTGGGCCACACCATGAGGCAGAGGTTCAAGCGGGCCTCCGCAGCCCCGCCCGCTGGCTCACCTGTGTGAAGTGGGGGCAGAGGTGATGGCCCCGCAGACCCCCGCCCGGGCAGTGCTCAGTCTGACCCCTCTCTGCAGAAATAAGATCGACGCCCGGAAGACGAAGCCCTGCTCTTTCTACCTGGACATGAAGTGGCTGGCCAACATTTGGGGCTGCGAAGACCAGCCCAGGATGTGAGAGCCAGGGCCTGCAGGGCATGGGGAGGGGTGAGGTGAGGGCCAGGGTGGGGCTGGCTGTGGAGACAGGGTAGGGAGGTGCTGACATGGGGGGTGGAAGGCCCGACCTCCAGCCTCTCATCAGACTGAGCCCCACACTCACATCCCCACTTGTCGCTGGAGCCCCTGTATCAGACCGCCCAGGGGTCCCGGGAGTCCACCCCTCCCTCACCAGGCTGCAGGCTGGGAGCAGCAGCATGGCCGCCTGCCCTCCCAAGGACTGTCCTCTGGAGACATCCTGGTACACCCTCCACATCTGACGGGGTCCTCGCCTCTCCCCATCCTGGGCCTGTTTACTCACCCGGCCAGGAGAGGATGAGTTCATTCTGTGGGGCACGGGAAAGGGCCCCAGCCGGCCCAGCAGGCCAGGGGCGGTCAGGGGTGGCTCTGGGGTGCCACCTGCTGTCTTCCAGGTACCATCACACCACCCCGGTCATCAGTCTGTACAGCCTGCGGGAGAGCTTGGCCGTCCTGGCGCAGCAGGTGAGCAGAGCCTGGGCAGGAGGGGCGGCTGCGCAGCCCAGGTCACCCGTGCGGAGGCCCCAGGGAGGAGCCGCCGCAGATGTGGGTGGCGCACTGGGGGCCCCTTCCCAAGCACCAGGCCATGGCTGCGGAGGTGGTTCCCCGGCTCAGGGCTGGACCCCGTCAGAGGGAAGGAGCCCCTGCACCACGGCCTCATACCTTAACCCGCTCCTTCCGCGAAATCCCCTGGATTCGGGGTTTATCGCAGAAGCACTGGCTGGGATGCCATTCCTCCCTGCTCACTGGCGGCAGGTTCAGTCCCCCCTGGCTGGCTGCCGCTGGGCGGGGCCTCGGGGAGGCAGCCATGACCTCTGTCCTCCGGGTCATGGGCTGGAGGGAGTGGTGTGGGGACGGTGACCCCCCAGACGGTACAGCCAGCAGAATCTCCATTGGCCTGGGACGGGCGAGTTCGGTCCAGAGACCCAGCGGTCCCCCGTACCTTAGCTGGTTCTGGAAATGTCCCCAGCACCATGTACATCCATTGTCCACTGACTGCGGCTGCCTGGCCACCTGTGCTGGCGAGCGCTCTTCTCCCAGCCCTGCTTCTGCTCCCCTTTCCCTTTTCTGTTCCCACATTTCTGAGAAGTTCCCACAAATTCTACGGGCTCCCATGTCTTCCCACTGGGAGGCTGAGGGAGCTGGACCCCGCAACCCAGATGCCCTACTCAGGGACCACACTGCCCAGGTCCCTGAGCGGCCCATTGGTGGCCCTGATAAGAGGAGAAGCCCAGCCCCATGGCCTCCAGCAGGGAGCATGGAAATCAATCCGTTGGCCAGTACTGAGGAGACAGAGGAGAGAGGGAGGGACAGGAGCCGGAAGGCGGAGGCGGTTAACGCGTGGCTAAAGGGAAAGCCGGAGGGCCGTGGTGCCAAAGGCACCTCCAAGAACGGCCTGTTGTTCTGGTTGTGAACCATCAGCCCCGGAGAGCCCCCTGCCGCCCAGGTCTGCTCCGACGCACGCGGTGTCACAGAGTCAGGGCTGGGCCCGCCGCAGCTGGTGCTTAGGGAGGAGCAGGAGAGGGGGACTGGAGTGCAAATTAAAATATGCGGGTTCAGGCAGAGATGGGGAGGTGAGGATGGTGGGGTTCACTGTGCAGATGGGGAGGTGAGGATGGTGGGGTTCGTGGCAGAGATGGGGGTAAGGACGGGGGGTCATGGCAGAGATGGGGAAGTGATGTGAGTTCACTGTGGAGATAAGGAGGTGAGGATAGTGGGGTTCATTGTGGAGATGGGGAGGTGAGGATGGAGGTTCATTGTGGAAATGGGGAGGTAAAGATGGGGGGTTCATGGCAGAGATGGAAAAGTGAGGATGAGGATTCACTAGAGATAGGGAGGTGAGGATGGGCATTCACTCTAGAGACGTGAAGGTGAGGAGACCCTGGGCCAGGAAGTGAACCACAGCTGGGCTCTGAGGTGGGGGTGGGGGTGCGGAGAGTGAGTGGGGGGAGATTATGGAAAGGATGGGAGATGATGAGGGTGTGTCCTGGTGCAGGTCAGTGCACTACAGACAGGCGGCAGGGCCCAGAGCCAGAGGGACAGGGATATGGGAGCCACTGGCCCCAGTGGGTGGAGGACAGGGCTCCTGAGGGTTGAGGGACAGTAGATTTGAAAGCACCAGCCCTCCTTCTCCCCAGGTGAGAATGGCCAAGCCCTGAAAGCAGGAGGGGACGGGAGGGGGTGGGAGAGGGACAGAGAACAGAGGGTTATGACCTTGCCACCAATCCCTCTCACCTTACCCCTCTTGTCTCTGGCTCCTGCCAGCTCCAACCTCTCTCCTCCCCGCATCCTCTCCCCCAGATGACAGTGGGAAGAGTCAGGCTCCCCTTACCCTGGTTCTGATGTGGCCTGGGTCTTGTGTGGCCCAGCAGCCCCTTCCCACCCCCTGGTCTGCCCCCACCTCCCCAAGGTGCTACCACTTGGCAGCCCCAGGGGCTATGCAGCTCCAAATGCAGGCTGGTTCCTGGGCAGAGCCAGAGCCAGAACCGGTGGCTTGGGAACTCTGGGGGCCTCTGAATCTGGGCCAGGGCAGGAGCTCGCCAAGCCTGGAGTAGTAGTCTACATTAGCCCATAGGGATAAGCTTGGAATTGCCCCCCATGGGAGTCTGTATTATCATGCCCCCTGCCCCACCCTCGTCAGCTTCCCGGGCCTCTCCCCCAGGGCCTGGAGAATAGCTGGCGACAGCACCGGGAGGTCACCGCCTACCTGCATGGGTGCCTGCAGGGCCTCGGCCTACAGCTCTTCGTCAAGGACCCGGTAAGGGGGTGTGGGTGGGGCCAGGGCATGCTGCTCTGGCCTCTTGGAGGTCTGGACACCTGCTTGGTGCACAGGGTGGTATGGGCCCCACCCAGTGGGGATGGCTAGTCACAGCCCCATGGTCTCTGGCCGCTGGGTCTCCGCACACTGAGACACTTGGCCAGCAGCCCCCACCCTCCCCCAGAGCCTCCCTGTTTAGAAGTAGTTACAAGACCGTGGAGTGGCTCTCCTGAGCCCTCCCAGGCACAGCCCAGTGGTGGGGGTGTGGGGACTCCAGGGCTCATGCCAGAAGGGTGGACTATGAACAACATCAACCATCGGGTAAAGGTGGTGCAGGTGAAACTGAAGTCCCTGGCTGTCCCCAGGTGGCTGTCCTGCCCTTCGAGCCTGGGGTAAGATTGTCAACTTCTACTGTTACTGTTCCGAGTGAGTGCACACTGTTCTGAGTCTCCTTACCGATGGAGATTGAAAAGAATGCCTTCGCCAGCCTGGCTGCCAGGTTGCCACTTCCAGAGGTTGTGTTGTCCTCTTGTACTAAAGACACCATGCCAGGAACAGCACTCAGTTGCAGGTTACCAGTTGGTTACCTGTACGAATCCACTGCCATTCACCATGATCCCTGGGGCTGTGCAGACTGACTGCTCTTCCCCCGGCCCTCTCTCCTGCTGCTGTCCTGGGGAGAGGCCAGGACCAGGCAGGCTGGGCAGGTGGCACGGTGGCTGGTGAATGCACGCAACACCCACCTGCCTGGCTGAGCTGCCTCTTCTGGCAGGCGCTCCGGTTGCCCACAGTCACCACAGTGGCTGTGCCCGCCGGCTACGACTGGAGGGACATTGTCAGCTATGTCATGAACCACTTTGACATCGAGATCACTGGTGGCCTCGGGCCCTCGGTGGGGAAGGTAAGAGGGCTATGACTCCAGCCACAGGGCCACAGGGCCACAGGACTGGAGGGTGGGGTGGGGCATGTGGTGAGAGACAGGACCAGTCCTGTCCTTATGAGGGGAAGCTTCCATCAGCCCACTGAGAGGCTGAGGGGTGGGGTCAGTCCCACCTACATGGAGGGGCAGCTGCCATCAGCACACCCGTGTCCAGCTGACTGACATTGGACACACAGCAGGAAGGCCCAAGACAGCACAAGCAATGAGAAGGAGTGTACCTGTCCATACCCTTGTGACCTCTGCTAGTGGGGACCTGGGCAAGTATTTTCTCCTGCACCCTGTACCCCAACTTGGTGAGGTCACACGAGGTTACCATATATCAGCCTGGCTCAACTGGCCTCTCCAATCCCACTCAGAGTTTCCCCTTCCTTCTGTGTGGACCTGGTGCCTGCGTCGCACGGCCAGCTGAGTGCGCAGTGCTCAGAGGGAGTCTTTGTTGGACAATCCTGACCCCGCCTTTCCTTCACTCATCCTATATGCATGGGGGGATGGCTGAGAGCGGACCTCTGGCTTGGGCTGCATGGCCTCCACGGACAGGGACAGGAGAAGGAGTGACGTCTGCGCCCGCCTGTGTCCCACCTCATCCCCAGGTGCTCCGTATTGGCCTGCTAGGCTGCAACGCCACCCGGGAGAATGTGGACCGTGTGGTCGAGGCCCTGAAGGAGGCCCTGCAGCGTTGCCCACGGAATAAGCTGTGACAGCCCAGTGACCCCACATCCCCTGGGAGGGGTTTGGGAGAGGGTGATAGGAGCACCCAGACTGTAAGGCCCAGGGGCTGAGGCGTGAGAGCAGCTGCCCCAGCCCAACAATGTCGTGGGGGCAGGACCCATCAGGCAGCCTCCCCCGGCCTTTCTGAGCAGGACCCCAAACAGGCCCTTTGGGCTCAGCATCAGCAGCACCTTCCACATGCCCCGTCGCCCCCAAGGGCACTGGCCTCCCTGGAAATATCCAATAAAGAGCCACGTGGCTGGGTCATTGCTCCTCACTGTGCGGTGCGGTCCAGAAGGCTCTCAGGGAGAGCCAGCACTGCCCGGGGCAGACACTGGAACCTCAGTAGTGTGGGCCAAACTCACCTAAGACCTCCCCAGGGCTGCAGAACAGAGCTGTACAGGTAAGTCAAGCCGCCTGGGGGCACCATCACTGCACAGCCTGGCCCAAGAGCTGCAAAATGCATCCACACACACTAACTCCAGACGGAGCCGCACGACCTACAGGGCAAACCCGTGACTCTGCTCACACAGACTAGGACACCCGCATGGACCAGGGCACCCAAGAGCCCAGAGCTGCACCCCTGCATGTATGCCCAGGGGCAGTGCGGGTGCTGAAGGCCTAGGGTCCCTGGCCCCGGGCCACTTGCCCTCAAATGTGCTGCCTAGCCCCTCTGCTCCAGGCTCAGTCCCTCCTCTGCTCAGCTCCCTGTGACCCTGGATCCCTGCTCTGTGCTTGGGTTTCTGCAGCAGTGGGGTGGGGTCTATCCTGCCTCTCCTTCCTAGGAAAGCTCAGACCAGGTGAAGGACACTGAAAACTCAGAAGCAAGACATGCTGGTCTCCCTTCTTGTCGGGGGTGGGGTACCCACAGTCCAATGCTGTCCATGTATCTTGGTGTAGCCATGCACCCCAGCCTCCTGTGCAGAGAAAGTTTGGCCTAGTGTGTCCCTGGATCACTCCCCTGACACTGACTGAGCACAGTCCACTGACATGCACCACTGGGTTAAGGCCATGAGCAGATGAGAGGCCATCATCCCCAGACAGCACTCCCAGCTCCTGCAGAGGTGGGCACGGATGATGGGCACGGGCACTACCATGCCTTTGCTGTGGTCAGCACAGGAACTGGGAGGAGCTCATGGGTCTGGAGCACAGAAAATGAGCAGTGTGGAGAGTTTAGGGGCTAGAACCTGCAGGATCACATAGGCCACGTCTGAGACTCTGGTCTTTGTCCTAAGAGCAGTCCTGTCTTGGTTTGGGTTTCCCCAGAAGGGGGTTCTGAGAGCAGGATTCAAGTGCAAGGCTAATTTGCAGGAGATCCCAGGAATCAGCCATATGGAAGTTCCCTTGTGCTCCCACTCACCTAACACCTCTCCCTTCCACCATCTCATCTGTTGCCATCGATGAGTTCTGCTGGTATCCAGCTCTCCTGTGAGTGGAGTGTATTCTCTCTGCTGTCTGCTTCTCTCACTGAACGTTTTTGAGACTTGTGAATATTTTTAAGGGACTCATGGTTTGTTTCTTCTTGCTGCTAAGTGGTGGTTATTCCTTCTAGGTTGTTTCCAATTTTGGGGCTCTCGTGAATAAGCCTATGACAAACATCCTTGTACAAGGTTTTGTGTGGGTATGTGTTTACATCTCTCTTGAGTAAATGCCTAGGAATGGAATTGTGGCATTTTAAGAAGACACTGCCACTCAGTTCTTCCAAATGATTATAACATTCCACTTCCCCACCAGCCTGTAGGAGAGTTCCAGTTGCTCCCCCTCCCCCTCAACATTTGGTGTTATCTTTTTCATGTAAGCCTTTCTAGTGGGTGTGAAGTTGTATCTAATTTGCATTTCCCTGATGGCATGAGATACTGAGTATCTTTTTATGTGACGATTGGCCTTTTGTGTATCTGCCTTGGAAGAAGCACAGCCAGAACACTCCTTAGGAGTGAGGACGGTGAGACTTTGTCAGGAAGAAGCAGTCCCTAGACAAGTACATCATGCTATGTAGATGGTCGGCAAACAATAGGAAGACCTTCAATGAGATGGGTTGACACAGTGGCTGCAGCGATGGGCTCAAACACAGCAACAACCATGAGGAGGGCGCAGGACCGGGCACTGTTTCATTCTGTTGTACGTGGAGTTGGTGCCGACTCAATGGGACCTGGCAACGACTCTGTCTATGTGTTATTTTCAGTGGTTGCCCTGAAGATCAAAATACACGTACTCAAGTTAACACCCATTTTAAGACCCTTAGGACAGTGCAGGCCAATTTGTCCATGACTTGCACTTGTGATATTGTCCTTTATATCTCTTTACTATATAACACATGTTGTTGTTGTTGTTGTTATGTGTTATCAAGTCGGACCCGACTCATAGCGACCTCTCCTTGGGTTTCCGAGGTAGTATCACTATGGAAGTAGATTGCCCCATCTTCCTTCCGAGGAGTGGCTGGTGGGTTTGAACCACCAGCCTTCTGGTTAGCAGTCAAGTGCCTTAGCCACTATGCTACCAGAGCTCCCACATATAAGTGTGCATATAGGTGTTTACATACATGTACATATACACACCTATATATAAACCCTGGCAAAGATATTTTTCCTTCAAAAATCAAATCTTTTAATGACATTTAAGAAAAGTATATTCACATTTGTGCATATAAAATAAAGGTACTACAAAAGATCTCATGCATTTATGCAGATATTTTCCTTCCTGGCACTCTTCATTCCTTCCTGAAGGTCTGGGGTTCCACCCGGTACGATTCCCTTTCGCCTGAAGAACTTCCTTTGGCATTTCTTGCAGTGCTGGTGTGCTGGAGGTAAATTCTCAGCTCTTTGCTGGATGAGAATGTCTGTATTTCTGAAGGACCGTTTCACTGGGTAAAGGATTCTCAGTCAACAGTATTTTCTCTCTGTGCTCAGATGGTGCCCCACTGCCTACTGGTCTACCTCGTTCCTGGCGAGAACTAAGCCACTCTCTGTGTGGCACTGTATCTCGTGGGTGAAGTGTTCTTTTCACTTTGGCTGCCTTTTCGCTCTGCTCCTTCTCTTGGATCAGCAGTGCCCTGGGTCTCTAGTGCTGCTATAACAGAAATACCACAAACAGATGGCTTTAACAGGTAGGAAATTGTTCCCTTACAGTTTAGGAGGCTAGAGGTCCAGATTCAGAGTGCCGGCTCTAGGGGCTGGGTGAAGGCCCCTTGACCTTGGGCTTCAGCTCTGCCTTTTATTCCAGCCCCTCTGGAGCTGGAGGCGTCTCTTAAGTCAGGCAGCTGCTGGCTGCTGAGGCTGAGGAACCCAAGGTCAGCAGGTAAAATGGCAGCGTCCCAAGATCAGCAGGCAGTGTGGCAGGTTCAGGTCCAAGAAGCCATGCCAAGATTGGCAGGCAACATGGCAGAGCACTGGTTCAAGCCCAGGAACTGAAGACGAAGACCCGACCAGACGCGGATCTCAATGTGCCAAAAGTCAGTGACCTTCCCCAAAACTTCTCCATATATGCTAGAAGCAGCCACGGCCCAGAGAAAACAACTTAGCTGCTCACAGCACTTTCCACCAGGGAGGGGACTACAGTCTCATCCAGCTACGTCCAGCTGCCCAGTCACTCAGAACCATGGCCAGCCAGGTTGACACACCACCTTACCCGCCACAAACAAGCAGTATGTCCGTGATGTAGCTGAGCATGGTTTTCCTGTGATTTATTACCCATGGGATCTGAGAGTTTCTTTTCCCTGTGAATTGATGCCTTTCTACAGTATTTGAAAGTTCTCAGCCATTAGCTCTTCAAGAATTCTACCTGGCCCCTTGTCTCATTTCTCCTTCCAGCACTCCGACTGTTCTACATCCAGCCATTTGGTTTTCTTGGAGTCTGCTCCATCTTCACACTCCCCTTGTTTCCGCTTGTCTCCTTTCTATTGATTCATCTTCCAGCTCACTGGTCTTTCCCTCTGCTGTCCCAATCTTCTGTCAAGCTCATCTATTGGATTCTTCATTTCTACCATCATCTTTTTCCATTTTTAAAAAATATATAGTTTCCACTTCTCTGCTGAACTGTCTTCATCTCTTCTTGGATGTTTTCTCCTTTTGGGAATAGAAATGGAGCACTTTCACTGTTGTTGTTTTAGAGTTCCAGTTCCTGACTTGTGATTCCATCATGTGCGCCATCTCTGGATCGGCTTCTTTTGACTATTGCCTCTTTTGACTGTGGGTTACATTTCTGTTGTTTTTTATGTGTCTAGCCCTAGAGAACTAGACATGTGAGCTAAGGGAGAGGCATCAGTGCTCCAGATGTGATGAGAAGATGGCCCAGGCTATGGTTCATGTAACTACTGGCTTGTCACACCCAACCTGCTTGACTCGATCTGCAATGCACCATGTCCATTGTATAATGCATTGCTGAGGCACCACCCCATCCCCAACCTTAGGACCTTGTAACACCCAGATCATGATAAACAGCTCAAGTCAGTCTTTTGCTTTTCCCTGGCCAAGGGCTCAGTCTCACCCAGGGCTCAAGAACATGCCAGATGCTCCTTCTGAACAGTGAGCAGTTCTCAGCTGAAGACGACATGGTTGCTCCAGAACCCTGTGACCAGCTCCCCTGTTGGGATGTCCTTTCTGCCGTGGAAGCCCCCAGTGTCATGGTCTATGGTAGCACGGATCTGCTAATGAGTCCAGTCAAGCACTGGCCCCACTCAGAACTGACAGCTTTCTGAGTCACCCAATAAATGGGCTTTCCTTAGTGAGGTGTATAGAGCCTCCCACTGAGCATGGGCCGTGTTCTTGGTGGTAGGTGGGGCAAGGTACAAAAGGGTCTGCTATACCTGTGTCTTAGTTCTATAGTGCTACTGTAACAAAAACACCCAAAATGGGTGGCTCTGAAAAAGAAGTGTATTTTCTCACAGTTCAGAAGACTAGGTGCTTGAATTCAGGGCACTGGCTCTAGGGAAAAGCTCTCCGTGTCAGCTCTGGGTGAAGATCCCTGTCGCAGCTTCTGTTGTTCCTCAGTTCCTTGGTGTTCTTCCTCCCATTTGTACTTGGTTGTCTCTCTGTCTCCTTGTGAGTTAGAGTGATTAGATTAAGGATGCACCCTATACTGATACAATTCCATTAACAACAAACAAAACCTATTCCACAACAGGATCCCAGGCACAGGAGTTAGGATTCCAACTTCTTCTGGGGGACATCTCTCAATCCATAACACCTTGAAAGCAATGTCTCAGCATGCCCAAGATAACTGACCTCTGCCACTGTCATCCATGTGACGGACTCTTGAAACTCTATAAGTCTTATCTCACACCCTTTGGATGGGCACCCCTTATAAGGCACCAAAATACTTTACAGTGAATGCCCCCAGGCCTGATAAACATGATGTCATCAATACAGTGAACCAGCATGCAAGTCCACGGAAGAGCCAGATGATTAAGGTCCACCAGGTCTATGTTATGACACAGAGCGGCCAGGTTAACATCAACCTGGGGCAACACTGTCAACTTCTGTTACCTGTTCTGGGTGAGTATACACTGTTCTGATCCTCCTTACTGAAGGGGATTGAAAAGAATGCATTCTCCAGTTTGGCGGCCAGGTGGCCAGTTCCAGAGGTTGTGTTGTCCTCTTGTACTAAAGACACCACATCCAGAACAGCACTAGGTTATAGGTTACCATTTGGTTACCTGTACGAATCCACTGCCATTCACCATGATCCATGGGGGCATACAGACTAACCTCTCTGAAGGTGGCACTAAGCTCTGCTAGTATATCTGGGATACAGTATCTTTCTGAAGGACTATTTTGGTCAGGGAAGCAGGGGTCATTTCAAGGTCTTCTCCTTGGCCTTTTCTGATATATGGATTTTACTCCTGCTAAGGAGCTCTGGTAGCATAGTGCCTAAGGCACTTGACTGCTAACCAGAAGGTTGATGGTTCAAACCCACTCCTTGGAAGGAAAGTTGGGCAATCTACTTCTGTAGTGATACTGCCTCGGAAACCCAAGGAGGGGTCGCTATGAGTCGAGTCCAACTCAACGGCACATAACAACAACAACCACAAGTATAGTCACCCACATGTACTCAACATCAGTGAAATGACCATACTTATGAGTCAGATTTGGACCAAGATTCTGTTTTCACAAGGCCTTTGTGTTCCCTTGTGTTAGTGGTGGCTCAGGCTCTGAATTTCACAGCCTGCAAAGGATCTGGGCATTTCTTTGCCTTGATGTGAAGTTACTGTGGCGTGTGGCCCCATTTCTGTGGGAGGTTTGAGGGTGTGGCTACTGCATGCTTGCTCTGGTATTGCAGGCCCTGCCCCACAGGAGCCCAGAGTCTGGTCATGTTTCAGAAGCGAGAGCCAACAGAGACCAGAGACTGTCTACTGGGGTGGGGCACAAGGGAGTCACTCGACCCTGGTGCAGATGGTTTCCTGGAGTGCAGGGCTGCAGCCAGGTTGCAGTGGACTGTCAATGCATGTGAGCTGGGAAATCAAGCAACAAGAATGGTTGGGAGGTGTTGGTGCCCAGACACCAGGGGACAGGTCCCCTTACACAGCAGGGAAGAGGGTGCCTCCACTGTGACAGGAGGAAGCAGACAGGAGCAGTACCAGGGCAGACAGGCTGGACCAGTGCTGGGGGGTGGGCAGGCTGGCAGCAGGAGCTACAGAAATCTCACCTCTTTGAAATGGGAGGGGGGGACACCTGCTGAGGAGGGGTCAGAACCTAGAGGAACATGAGGCCGATTTGAAATTGTCCACGTGCAAGCTTCTGTACTTCTGCGTTTCTGGGGGGAACTATTCCAGATCCCGTCCTGGTTGTATCCAGCCAGTGCATTAGTTTATTATAGAACAACATATACTATTTCACTCCTGTGAGAACTACAGGGTGAGGACCAGAGAGTGCAGGCAGGGACAGCCCCTGAGCTCCAGCTGCATGTAGACACCAGGCTTTCAGTCTTGACAACATCACACTTGGGGTCAACAAGGCATCACATGAAGCCCACAGCACCTTTATCCCAGTCCCTCATCCTGGGGAAGCAGGAGCAGCTCAGAGGGCTCACCCACCTAGCACCCCCAGACCCATGAGGCCATCCCCTGGAGTCCGAGGGTGGCCCCTGGGGTCAAGTCTACCCACCACCCACCACTTGTCTCAAGCTGAAGTCCCCTGCCCTTCTCCAAATGTCCCAGAGCCTCCTGTGGGCAATGCAGGGAGGTGTGGGTGTCCTGCTGGGCTCTCCTCACTACCCAGAGTCTTGCTCTTCCGGAAGATGCTCTGCATGGCCGCTCTTCGGTCCTTATCCTGGATGTTAAAGACCTGGAACTGCAGTGGGGTGGGGGGAAAGGGCCACAGAGACATCTGAGAGCCCATCACATGTCACAGGCCCTGGACACCATGATGACCCCTGACACAATGCAGGACAATTTGCCCACCCCCCGACCAGTTGGCCTTCTGCCTCTGGGTCTCTGCCTGGACCATTCTCCCCACAAGTGGACCCTACCTGGCCCATCCTCTCCTCCAGGAACACTCATGCTCAGGGTGTACACCCAGGTCTGTTAGAGCCACCACTCCCACCACCATCCTCCCAACACCCAGGTCTAGTGATGGCCTACCCCTCCTGCTGCCCCCCACATACCTACCACCCCTGCCCCCACATACCCAGGTCTCCTACGAGCCCACCACCCCCACTCCCACCAGCACCACACACACAGCCAGGTCTGCCAGTCCCTCACGTTCCTCCCATTTCCACCCCCATCCCTCCGGCCACCATTCCCCACCCTTCTCACTATTGCCCCCCACCCCCAAGAATACCCAGGTGTGCTGAGAGCCCAGACAGGTCCTCCCCCTCTCTGGTCTGCAGAATTTGGGGTGGTGATTCTTAAATGGCAATGGATGACCCCAAGAGACTGTGAGCACCCCATCAGGTGAGAGGTGAGGCTGAAATACTACCAGGTTAGAGTTGGGGGGGCTGGTGGAAAACAACAGGGGGCAGGGTAGGAGGGGTGTTTTTGCTCTAGAGGGTGGAGATAGGAGCAGCAGCAGCCAGAGAGGTAAGAGGCGGGGGGAAAAAAAAAAAAACACAAACAAACCCACCGCCATGAAGTGGGTTTGGACTCCTAATGACCCTGTGCTCTAAGAGTCCTATAATGGCCCTGTAAGGCCAGGGCAGAGCCGCCTACCCCTGGAGACCACAGGGCTTCCCAGCTGTCAGTCCTTACAAGCTTGCCTCATCTTTCTCCCAAGGAGCAGCTGGTGGGTTGGATTCAAACCTCTGACCTTCTGTTTAGCAGCTCAACACCTTCACCACAGCACCCCCAGCTCTCCTTGAGAGAGGCTAGCCCCCCAGATGCCAAGTCATGAGAGGCACCAAGAAGGAGGACTGAGTCACAGGGGCATGGGGAAACTGTTCCCCTGAGCAGGGACTGGCTCGGGCATGCCACCCTAGCTCCCAGAAAGCAGCCCTGGGGCCACAGGGGCCCTGGAGAGAGAGCCACCCTTCTGGCCCCCACATCACCCTCTCCCCAACAGACGTTCTTACTGTCTGCAGGGGGCCTGACCCGGCTCCTGACCTGGGGATGGCCAGGGGCTCTGTGCCCACCTTAGGTGGCCCTGACCCCACACAGCCCCTCCAGCTGGCTGCACCCACCTTGTCCAGCAGGGCATCGAAGTAGGCAGTGGCCCAGTAGGCTGGGTCGCTGGCGGGCAGCTGCAGCAGGGCCTTGATCCCGTTGTCGATGCGCGGTGGCGGGCTGCGGCCCAGGTGTGTGACGTGGATGCGCAGGGACGCCTCGGGCTGGCTGGCAAAGCGCTCCACGCGCTGGTACAGGGTGCCGAGGTCCAGGCCCGTGGCCTGCAGCAGGTTCTGCCCGGGCCACAGGAAGTGCGGCAGGTTCCTGGTGGCCAGGCAACAGAGCAGCACCACCAGCAAACGGTACACGGCGCCCTCCAGGTCCGCCCAGTCCTCGGGCGTGGGGAACAGGACCGAGGCCCACAGCAGCACCATCTGGGGGTGGGGCGGTCTGCTGAGCCCACCCGCCGGCACCCCGCCCCCACCGCTCCAAACTCCGAGCCAGCTGGGGTGGCCGAGCCCACCCTCTCCTCCGGTCAGAAGGGGTAGCAGGGCATCCACTTGGGAAGGAAGTGCCAGCACCCTGCGACTCCGCAGGCCCTCGCTTCCCTTCACCTCCTTGCCCTACTGGGGTGGTGGGAAGCGGCAGTGCACTCGGACGCTGCCCGGTGGTGGGTCAGAGCCCGCAGCCCAGGCCCCATCAGGACTCGGTTTACCCTCCAGTCACAGCAGCTCTGGGAGCCGCGATGAAGGGCCAGTTTTCCCTTGTGGCAGAAGGGGGCCCCTGAGAGGTGACAAGGCTTTCCCTAAGTCCCCTGGGTGCTGTTCCCCTTGAGGGGAGGACCCTTCTCAGGCCTTAGGAGCTAGCCGGGACCTTGACAGAGGATGTCAGTGTTCCTGGCCCAGGGTGCCAAGTACAGGCCTGGCTGCCTGGCGCCCTGGGGGCACACCCCTGCCTGCTCCTCCGTCGCAGCCTCACTTCCTCCCACCCAGGCAGGCCCGCGAGTCCCCTGGCTAGCTCCAGAGCTCATAGGGGAGGGGCCAGGCGAGTCCCACACACACCCACCTTCAGGTGGCGGAAGGTCAGGCCCATGCTCTGGCTGCCATCTTGCCAGCTGTCATGGTTGACCCGGTCCAGGATGGAGAGACTGTCCAGGCGGTGACCAGGGAGCGAGCCGAGTACACTTACTAGTCTCGTCAGCAGGTGGTCCGTGGAGACCCTGAGACCCAGATGTGCCCCAGTCAGCAGCTGGAACCCCTGTGCCCACAATCCACCGCTCGAGAGAAGCCCCCTGGCTTTGCTGCTTTCCAGTTTTGGGAAGCCCCTGAGCCCCAGGAGACCACCCAGGTCTGACAGTGGCCCCTGCAGTGACACAGGCCCTGTTGGACCCACCCCAGTTGCCTCCTCTTTTTCAAAATGGCCCTCTGTGGGTTTTAAGGGTGCAAGGTCAGCTGCCACACAACTCAGGGGGCTTGGGGTAACCCAGGCCAGCCAAGCCCCTTTGGTACAGACTGGAAGGTGGCCCAGGACCTGGACGCTTCCTTCCCCTTCCTCTCCCCATTTCCTCTCTCACAGACACTGATTCCTCCCCTCGTTACCCTGCAGACGGGGTCCTCACAGAGGAGGGGCTACTGGAGCCCCAGGGCCGGGTGCCAAGGGGCCTCCCTCCTAAACTCCTCAGGTGAAGGGACCCTCGTGGGGTAGGAAGACACTGTGGTTTGTGAAGGGCAAGCTGGGAGAAGGTTCCAGAAAAGCCCAGAGCTACTTAGTCTCCTTGACATTGTGTGCCTCCCCGTGGAGACCCTCTGCCACCTGGAACCTGAGACCTTGCCTCCCTGCCTCCCACCTGAGAGGGAGGGAGTGGGCTCGAGGCCCGCCCAACTCACATCCTGATATGTGGATCTGTGAACTGGAAGGAGTTCTGGTGGCACAGTGCTAAGGAATTTGACTGCTAACCAAAAGGTTGGTGGTTCAAACCCACCAGCTGCTCTGAGGAAGGAAGATGGGAAAATCTACTTCCATAAAGAAGTAGGGGGTCACTGTGAATTGGAATTGATTTGATGGCAGTGGGCTTGATATTTGGTTTACTGTGAGCTGGGACCTACACACCCCTCCTCAGTCACTCCTGCCCAGGTACCCGGTGAGCAGGAGAGGGCACCCTCCCACACTCAGAGAGCAATGATGCTGGGCATTTGGGGCTTAACCCCAAGGTTAAGGCATTGGGCTGCTAAGCAAAAGGTAGGTGGTTTTAACCTATCAGCTGGGTCCACAGGAGGACGAGGCGGTCTGCTTCCGTGAAGACTGACAGCCTTGGAGACCCTGTGGGGCAGTTCCCCTCTGTCCTCTAGGGGCGCTGTGAGTCAGAATGGACTCCACGGCAGTGGGTGTGGTTTGCTTTGCTTCTGTGAAGAGTGACAGCCTTGGAGACCCTGTGGGCAGTTCCACTCTGTCCTCTAGGGGCTCTGTGGGTCGGAATGGACTCCAGGCAGTGGGTGTGGTTTGGCCTTTGCTTCTGTGAAGATTGACAGCCTTGGAGACCCTGTGGGCAGTTCCACTCTGTCCTCTAGGGGCGCTGTGGGTCAGAATGGACTCCAGGGCAGTGGGCATGGTTTGGGCTTTGCTTCTGTGAAGACTGACAGCCTTGGAGACCCTGGGGGCAGTTCCACCCTATCCTCTAGGGGCGCTGTGGGTCAGAATGGACTCCAGGGTGGCGAGTTTGATTATAGCAACTCCTGTAGGATACAGATGTCCCAGGGGCAGAGGTGGGCGACCGCACAGACCCCTCACTGCCTGAAAAGAAATCACCCCATTCACTGCTCCCCCAGCTCCAACCTGCAGACCCAGAGGTGTGCCTACCTCCAGTCCTGGGCGCTGGCTGGCACCAGGTCCACCCCCTGGCCCAGGACTCTCTCCAAGCTGCCCGTGGGGAAGGCGGTTGCCAGTGGGGCCCCCTGTGGGGTGGGTACCCCGTGTCGTCTCCTCACCACAGGCACCACATTGAAGCGGACGGTCCTCCAGCCACTGGACACCAGCAGGGACAGGTGGAGCGCCCCCTCCCGCAGGCTGGATGCGTTCAGCGAGCCTGGATGGGGGCGGGCGCTGAGAGCATGGCCACCCTGGCCCCGTGCCCCTGCACCGCCCCTCGGCCCGGAATAGTCCAGGCACTGCCTGCCTGCAGCCCTCTCAGTCCTGCCCCCGGGGCCCTGTCTGCAGGCAGCTGCACCTCACCTCCCAGCTCCTCCTCCCTCCCTGGCTGGGGTCAGGAGGCTGGCAGGGCCCCCAGAGGAGCAGTTTGACCCGAGACAGGACCCCTACCTGCCTCAGCCAGGGGGGTGGTTCTGAGGGCCATCTGCTGCCCTAGTGACCATGGTCCCCGTGCCCTGATGGCCCTCATCCCCAGTAGTCCCCTCGTCTGTGGTCCCGCCCCAGGCAGCCATCTGGGAAACCTCGCGGTGTCCCTCCTTCCCTCCCCCAGCCCCCAGCCCTCTGTGGCTCCCCCTGAACAGGACATGGCACCCCGCACATAGACCTCTTCCCTCACCCCACTGCCCACACCCACCCCAGCTGAGCCAAGCCACGCCAGCCCCAGGCATGCCCCCCACCCCTGCCAGGACCCCACCCTGCCTGGCCACACTGCAGCCCCCCCCCCAGCACTGGGCTGCTCCCTCAGCGCGCCCCGTCCCCCAGCAGAGCTGCCTTCCCGGTTCACTCGGCCCATCGGCACCTGAGCAGCCCTCTGACTGGACGAGGTGGCCTGAGCTGCCCGGGTCCTGTGCCCCTTTCCCAGGGATGCCCCGAGCCGCCCTGCAGCCCTGTGGCCTTTCCCAGGATGCCCCAAGCTGCCCCGGGCCCTGTGCCCCTTTCCCGGGGACGTGCTAAAAGATCTTGTGTAATTACAGTTAAGTATCTTGGTTCCAGGTGGAGACTGAGTGGGAACACCCCTTCTGGTTGGGTTACATTTTTCTTACTTTGGAGGGAGCCCAAAAAATAGGAGTGGGCCCTTCAGGGTGGTGGCCTGGCCTCTGGGGTGAGGCTCGGGACTTTCAGGGGTGGGGCCAGGGCAGGCTCATGGGCACATGCGGACCAAGCTCGCCCGTGACCCATCCCGTTAGGGTCCCGGCATCCCTCATCTACGTGCCTCATCTTCCCCACCTGAGATGGGTGGGTGTGACCTCCCAGGGGCAAGCAGGGCTGTGTCCCCAGGCCTCTGGGCAGCCCCCGGCATGTTTCCTGTCCACCCAGCGGCTGTCAGAGACCCAGCCTGAATTTGTTCTCACCCCCCAGTGTCCATTCGCCTCATGGGAGCAACCCTTGTCTACCCGCTGTATCCATCTGTGCGGCCTGAGGTGTCCCTCCTGGCCCCAGGGACAGGGCATCTCCCAGAGGATCCCTGGTCCTGCTCAGCTTTTGAGGCTGTCACTGTCCCAACACAGTTTCCTCTCTCAGCCACTGACAGTCGTGCTCTGTCCACAGGCAGTGGCTGGGGAGGTGGCCAGCCACGCCCACTGTGCACGTGTCCACCACAGCCCCGCCTCACAGCGCCCACACTGCTCCCACTCCCACGGCTGCCCCATCCCTCTGAGCTGAGTGCCACCGACCAGTGTGGAACTCCTGCACACCCAAAACGGGTTCTGACCTAGCAGTGTGTCTCTCATCTCAGAAACAAGCTGGGGGGTGATAAGGGGGCTGACAGTTTGACTTGAACCAGTGCTGATCCCGACAGTGGACCTGCTCCAACCACTGGGGACAGGGACAGGTGGGAGGGGCCACAGTAGGTCAGACCTCAGGCCCAGTCCTCCCAAGCCGCCTATGGTAATTACTGGCTCAGGGGAGGACCAGACGGGGGACGGGGCAGGAGGGGGCAGGAGCCAGATGACTAATGACAGGCCCCGCCATCTTCAGGGGCTGCTCCCTTCCCCAGCACAAGGCCCATCTGGGGAGGGCCCTGCCCATGGTGTGCAGGTGGCCCTGTGGTACCACAGACAGTCTGGTAAAGGGCGGCAGCTGTGGCATCCTGGTGCTGAGAGGTGGTCTAAAAGCCAGAGAGCTTCAGACTCCCCTCTCAGCTTCCCAGCAGGTGCCTGACACACCCCAAGAGAAGAGGATGGCCTTGCAGTAGGGTGGCTGAGTCCCCACCCCAGTGCCACCTGGTGGACCAGGCACCAGTTCTGGGAGCCCTGAGCAGAGCATGCCCCTGGGGGGGGGGTCTGAGCATCCCCACCCCCGACCTTATGGGCTGGGCGCCTCAGAGGAGCCAATACCAGGGCAGGTGCCCAAGGACTTGGGGCAACAAACTTGTAGGAAGGAGTGGCAGCCATGCCACATTCCTGTCCCTGCCTCAGGGAAGCAGGAAATTGTCTGGGTCTCCAGGCCCCCACCAAGGAGCCCATTGTCTTAACCCTATCTGCCACCCACAGTCCCTGCTGTGCTCGCCCTGGATGGGAGACCCTGCTTCTGCCCTGTGGGAGCCCTGCCATCTAGAACACACCCTACCCCTTCAGTCACATCAGCTGGGCATTGTGGGGAGGGGCTGTGGTCAGCCCTCTCCTCAGCTCAACTGAAAGGGCTCACTTCAGGCCCTCTCAACACTCAAGACACAATTAGCAACATGGTCACCAATGGAAACAGATGTGCACTCACACACACGTATGTACATGGTTCACACACATGCAGCCACACATGTGTATATTCACACACACTTGCACACTCGCACAATACACACATGCAGTCACATATGCATACATACACACTCACACATACTTGCACACATGCAAACTCACACACATACACACATGCAGTCACATATGCATACATACACACTCACACATACTTGCATAGATGCACACATACACACATGTACACTCACATATGCATATACACACACTCACATGCAGTCACACACATGTACACTCATGCATGTATGCACACTCGCACACATCCATATGCTCATGCACATGCAGTCACATGAATGTACACACATGCACATACTCTCACACATGCAGTCACACATGCACACTCATGCATGCATACATGCACTCACACACATGCATGTACACCCACATGTGAATACACCCATTCACACATCTGCATATGCATGCACATTCACACACATACACACTTGCTCCTCCCAACTTGGTGCAAAGTACCAGATGCCACAGTGGGGTCGACTGTGAGGACAGTAGCGATGGGCGGTGGCTGGTTACACACTCCCCTGCCTAGAGCTGTGTCAGAGACCCCAACCAGAAAGCCAACTGGAAACCAGTGAACTCCCCATCAAGGTTCTTGCCATTTCAAAAGTAATATTCATTCAGTTCTTATTACAAAAATCACTATGTGAAAATTAGACTATCCAAAATGCATGATCTTTGTTAGAAGGACACAGAGCTGGAAGGATTCAGAACGACGTCTCCCAACTCCTGTGCACCCCTGCACACAGTGACCAACATGTGGATTCACATGTGCACCCGGACACACACCCTGAGCTGTCCCACCGCTGCACACACAGTGACCAACGTGTGGACTCACACATGTGCACCCGGACACGCACCTTGAGCAGTCCCACATTGTGCATACCTACCCAGCAGTCATGCAGGTGAACACACAGACCACGCACACGGTGCCCACCCATGCGCCCCCACACACGGCGCAGCCACCCATACCTGGCGCGACGAGCCTGTGGTGCTTGCAGTGGACAATGGCAGCCACCAGCAGCTCCCTGAGGACGCCCAGGACCTTGCTGGGCGCGATGTGGCCGCGGCACTGGGCTCCGCTCTCTGAGGAGGCGCTGAAGACATCTGCCGCGGTCCACCGCTCCAGGCCCGCGCCTTCCCTGGGGACGCCCAGGCGGCAGCAGGCAGGGCCGTCGGCGGGCTCGGTGGCGCCCGCCTCCTCGATCAGCAGAGCCTGGTCCTCCAGCCCCAGGGGCACCTCCAGGTCCAGAGGCTCCTCGGAGGAGCGCAGCGCGAACTGGAAGGCCCCCAGGTCTCGGGAGTAGTCGACGAGGAAGCGGGGGTCCAGGGCGTGCACGCGCTCCAGCACGGTCAGCAGCACGTCCTCCGCGCGCTGGAAGTCCTGGGCCCGGGCCGCCGCGCGCGACCGGACCGCCTGCAAGTACTGGGACCACAGGGCCACCTGCACGGCCATGGCGGCGGCGGGCGGGCTGAATAGCAGAGCGGGCCCAGGCCTTTGAAGCGGGTGACTCAGTCCCCAGCAATCAGGGATGTCGCGCGGCCGGGCTCCGCCCCCCTCGCCGGCCCCACTCGCCTCCCGCCCAGGCCGGCCCCCAGCGGGATCCGGACTGCTCCTGTCCCCTGCCCGGCAGCCCAGGCTCTGCGGCGTCAGGCCCTGGCCGCCCAGCCTCCCCGCGAGTGGGAGGGGACACGCACCCGCCCACTGCCCCGAGGAGCAGGTGAGGCCGGGCGGCTTCCCGGTCCGCGCCCCCGCAGACCGCCGCGGAGCCGCTGAAATGCCGGTCACACAGGCGGCGGAGGTCCCCCGGTGGGTTCTGCCTCCCCCGCCGTGCGCAGGGCGGTCCAGCATCCAGCCCTCCGGAGGGCCCTGTCCCCACGCCCCGCCTGAGACCTTCGCCCAGCGGGCACCCACCCGGGCCTGCGGCTGGAGGGTCTGTCCCAGGTGGAGCTGGTCTTCGTGGCTCCGCCTCCCTGGGCTGGAGGGCACGCCTTCCCCAGCACCTGCTCCCAGCGCACTCAGGGCTGCACAAGTCCCAACGGGCAGAGGGCGGTCCCACGCCCGCGACCCTTGGCCCTGCCACCAGGTGCTTAGCCGCTGGAGGCTGCAGACGGAACACAGGCGACTTCCCACGCAGGCGCCGGCCCTGGACGGCCTGCAGCCCTTCAGGGGAGCCACTGGCCCCGCCCATGGTAGGACCTGAGCCCCAGCCTGAAGTGCAGGTGGTGGTACTACAGGGACATGGGCACCACCCGAGGTTGGGTCTCAGCTGCCGAGCCCCCAGGATGGGGAGCTCACCCCTCACCAGGCAGCCCACACCAACTCCAGACAGACAGGCACCCCGCACCTCTGGGGCCTGTCCTCTTGTCCTCCAGGGTGGCAGGAGCAAGGCTGTGCCTCCCAACTGCAGCTGCAGCCCAGGCTCAGGAGCCGCCAGCCCACTGCCCCCAGCCCTGTCCGCCCTGCCGTGTGTGGTCTCTGTCTCCGAGGGACTCTGACCTTCAGGGGGTGCCAGGGCTGTAGCCTCCCCTCTTGGGAAGAGTCAGGAGACCTGCGGCCTGGGCCTTCAGGGTCTCAGCCCTCAGCCTGGGCTCGGGGTGTGGGCAGTTCATGACCCAGCTCTAGGCCTGGCCTTTAGCTCTGTGAGGTCCAGGGAGGCGGATTTGGTACTCCCAGGAATCCCCTGGGGCGATCTCCCGGGTCCCAGTCCATCGAAGGTGGCCCTTGGTTGCAGCCCTGCCTGCCCCTGCACCCCACCCCTGCTGTCCTCTTCAGGTGCCTTGGCACCCTCCACCCCTTGACCCCAACCCCACGACTCTCCTTTCAGCGATGTCACCTGGCTGGGCACACGGCCCCCCTTTGCTGATGTCCTGCTCTACATGCATTTTACATATGTGTACGGGTATGCGTCTACATACACCCTCTTCCCTGGGCCCTATCGGCACCCCATGCAGTTGCATGTCTTTACTCCCCAGCGTCAAAGGGCACAGTCCTCCAGTTGCCGAGTCTGCCTGGGACCTCAGGCACCTGCAGGCCGGGGAGTCCCCACACCACCTTTACTTCTCACCTGCTGGCTGAAATGAGGAATTCACTCTGCACCTCCGGAGGCTGCCGTAAGGTCAGGGGGCCTCAACCCCTCTCACTTCTGACCTGCTGGCTCCCACCACTCCCTTGGGTTTGCAAACTTGTTCCAACAGCCCACAGGAAAGCACTGAACTTGGAATTTCAGCTTCATTACAGCGGAAAGGATACAGACACAGAGACACAGAGGGCTCAGTCTAGGAGGGTCCCCACCACGGAGCTCCCAGTCCCAAAAGGCACAAGTCACCCTTGGTGTATCAATGCCTCACCAACCCCAAAACTTATGGACTATCCCGCCTGGAACTGTTACTGGGACCCCGTTATGTGGATGCCCTGGCTGGTGTAGAGGGAGAATGCACTTGGCTGGTTCGAGCCCACCCAGAGGCCCCTAGGACAAAGGCCTGAAATCTTCTGAAAAATCAGCCATTGAGAACCCTGTGGGGCTCAGGCCTACAGTCACTGTGGGAGCTCACCCCTCACCAGGCAGCCAAGCCAACTCCAGACAGGCACCATGGGAACACTGCAAGGAAGAGTCAGGGTGGTCACTGACCGACTCAGCTCCCTCCCCTGAGTTTGGCCTGGGCAGCCCCCTTCCAAGGGGGCTCACTAGCATAAGCCCTCAGGTGTGGTCTGGAGGCCTCCTTAATGGCACCTCAGTCCTGGGGATTCCAGAGTTTTAGAGACTCTCTCTCAGGAGCCAGAGACCAGTTCTCAGGGTGACTAGCCCATGGGGGGCCAGCAGCTCTAAAGGGGAGTCATCAGTGGATGCTGAGAGGACCAGGTGATGGGGTGCAGGGTCCTCCAGTCTCCCCTCCTCCAGACACCCTCAGCCCCTGAGTGGTGAATATGGGAATCCAGGTGGGGGCTCAGTGAGGTCCTCTCCCCCAGCCTCTTAGACTGACCCTCTCAAGGCTGGCTGCTGTCTCATGGCCCTCTGGGCATGGGCCAGGAATTGGACCCCAAGAGGAGGGGGAAGACTTTTGTCCTCAGCATATGAGCCAAAGGCCCACTGGGGGTGTCCCCAAACATAAGCCCCCCAAGACAGGCCTCCACTGCTGTCCTGTGGCTGGGCCACCCAGGGCCCAGCACCCATCAGCAGGGCATACATGGTCAGCCGTGTGGGCCTGAGCCCGTGTCCAGAATGGGGATGCATCCGCTATGAGCAGAGTGACAGTGGCTACTTCTGATCCAGCACCTGCAGGGCCCATGCCCCCAGGAAGAGTCCATGGGGCCATAAACCCAGGCCAGCGGAGCCAGTCCTGACACATGCTTCTCAAGAGCAGTCGCCAGCTGTCTGCAGGAGACCTGTGGCCGGCACAGGCAGTGCCCCGGGGGGACAGAGTCACCCAGTGGACAGACACTGATGGTGAGCCAGGTCCAGATCTGGGAGCAGATAGTCGGGGTGCAGGCAACCCGGAGGCCATGAGCCAGGTCCCGACCCCAGTGCAGATAGTGAGTGCTCATGTGACCAGCCTGGAGGCCGGACAGCAGGGATGGCAAGACAGAGGGCTCTGAATTCTTTGGCGCCCCTCCCTCTTCCTGGGAACTGCCCTGCCTTTGAACCTAGAGGCCACTCACTCACCAAGGCCCGTCCACTAGGAAGAGCAAGGCTGGGTGACAGCTGTGAGTCATGGGCCTTCCCACAGGAAACAACCCTTATGTGGGTTTCGGGTCCCTCCCCTTCCAGGGAGGCTCTGGGTCGGCCACAGGTTCTGTACCCACTATGGCCAGCTGGTGACATGCAGCAGTGAGGCCAGTGGCTGGGGCTGGCCAGCGCGGCCTTAGCAGCCCGCACCCCAGCGTGTCCATGTGCACCATGACCAGGCCACCAGGCTGCCAAGTTCCAGGCATTATAAGTGACACTCTGTCATCACAGAGTGGAGGCCCAGACTAGCCTGGCCGGGGTGCCGTGCTTTGAGGATGAAGAATGGCTAGGCCTGAGGTGACCTCTGGGAGGGAGGGGGTAGCATGGGTCAATGCCAGGCTAGGGTCCTGGTTAAGGTGGCCACATGACAGGGAGGATTGTGGTGAAGGCTCCTCGTAACAGGCACTTCTAGGCCTAGAGCCAGAGTGAGGGGAGCCCAGGTGAAGCTGGCCGAGGCTCGGGGGGCCCTTTAGGACTAGGGAAGCCTGAGGGCCTCTTTAAGATTGGGGCAGGCCAGAGGCCCCTTTAGAATTGGGGAAACCCAAGAGCTGCCCCTTTGGGGCTGGGGAACCCAGAGCCAGTGCTGTCACCGATACCAGATAACCAGCGGGGTGAGGGGACCCTGCCCTCCTCTGTGAGGACCTATCCCCAGCCTTGCCTCTCTACCACCTCCCACAGGGCTCCCCACCCAGTGAGGCCTCCATCTACCACCTCAGTCCCTGGACACCCGCTGGGGCCCTGCCAGACCCAATCTTGGCCTGCCCTTGGGCTCCCCCTCCAGGCCGCCATGGCCCAGAACCCGGATGGGAGCTCAGCGGCAGTGAGGCAGTGGCTATGGTGTGCAGAGGTGGGAAGGCTCTGCCAGGGGGTCTGCATGGCCACTGGGGGACTGTGGAGGTGTGGCCATGGGATGGGGGTCTTCATGGCCACTGGGGGGCTGTGGAGGTGTGGCCATGGGATGGGGGTCTGCATGGCCACTGGGGGGCTGTGGAGGTGTGGCCATGGGATGGGGGTCTGCATGGCCACTGGGGGGCTGTGGAGGTGTGGCCATGGGATGGGGGGTACAGGCCATGGAACAGTCAGGGTTGTGAGATAGACCAGCGGAGAACAGGAATGGGGGATGGGGTGGAGGTGGGAGTCAGAGAGGCATGGACCACCTAGTGGGAGTGTCACAGGACACCTGGCCAAGTGGAGGTGAGCGAGGGCACCCAGCAGGTTGGCCTTGGGGGATGGCAGGGCTGCAGCCCCTTCACCTGGGGGACCAACTGTCCATTTTGCCCAAGACTCTCAAGTCACCACTGGAAGACCTCTTTGCTGGGCAAACAGGGTTCTGTGGAAGGAACCTGGGGTCTCATCTGGGACACATCAGCCTAGAGCCAGAGTGAGGGGAGCCCAGGTGAAGCCAAACCCGGGTGGGCTTGAGGGGGCCCATCAGGTCCCACCTGGCTGTGGAAACCATCACTCTTGCCTTTGACCTTGCCCTCAGCCCAACCCCACCCTGCGGCCAGGGACATCTCTTCAGGGGACTTTCCAAAGGTCAAGTGAAGCGCCCCTCCCCCACTGTCTGTGGGCCTGGTGACCTTTGGGAGTAGGATGAATGTGACAGCAGGTATGAATCAGGTCTCCCACAGTTAGGTCACCCCAAAAAGGAAAGCACAGTTCTGGCAGGGCTCCCCACATCCGAGGCTGGCCTGGGGCAGGCCCTTCTCCTGGTAGCCTCCGTCTGCAG